AAAAAAAAAAAAAAAAGAACCTTAAGAACTATTACATAAATAAGAACTATTTCTTAAAAGAATTCAGAAATAAATCTGTAACTCATCTCTGATTGAGCATCTTCAACAGTGCTGCTCTGTGCAAATATTCATTACTATATTTAATAACAATTAATTTTAACTTGATAGTCACACTATAAACAATATAAATCTGAACTAAAATCTTATTTTATAATATTTTAGCTAGAGAGGATTATGTAGAATGGAAGGTGACATTGTCAAAATTCTAGAAATGACAATATGATTGATACATTCTTAAAACATTTTGGTTGAATTTTAAAGCAACTAAAACTTAGCTCACTATGAAAACATATGGAATGGCATCAGAGATACAGTATGAAGGCTCAGAAGCCATATTTGAGGGGTTTGAATAGTAGCTCTGCCACTCGTGTTACCTTTGTGATTTTAAACATCATTAACTTCTCTGTGCCTTAGGCATTTCATTTGTACCATTGCAGTAATGAGTAATGACTACATGTAATTTTTATGGGGACTAAATTAACTGAAACACAGCCACTAAAATGTATGTGAAATATAATGAACATTCAAAAAGGTTAGCTGATAGTAAAGTTTAATAGAACTGCATAGGTGCCTTAATCCCAAATTAAAACTAATGCAGAGTAAATTTAGAAATTCTTACATATGAAGATAAAACTATGCTTCAGAAGGCGCAAAGTAAATATAACATTTCATAGTCATTTATGTGCTAAGCACTGTATGTGTCCATAATAATTGTTACTCAGTCCTCATTATGGTTTTCCAGGTAAGTGTTAATATTTGTTGTACAAATTAGAAAACAACCAGAGGCTAACTTGTCTTACTTCACAGCACTGCTAATGCAGAACAGGCTTCCAGAGCAGTTATCTCATATTATTTCCACGCTTGTGCTGCTGCATCTGGAGCATCCCATCTCATGTGAAATTACTGAAACCTGTCTAAATAAAACTGCGTATTTAAGAAAACATGTTTCACTCCAAGCAGTAGTGCTATAAGAAGGTTATTATAATGAAATGGTTGAAATGAGAACAAATTCATCTAATGTTTAATTACATGAATTTGAAAAACTTTGCTACTCATCTTTAACATTTATCCCACTTGTATTGTGTGTGCTCTATAAAGAATGTAGCATAATGATTTGCCCTTCCTAATTGATTATTTTGTCGTCTTTTCTTTTTTCTTTTCCTTTACTTGGGTTCATTCTGAAATGTGAAACTTCATTTGGCCCTTTGTGCTCTATGTCAGCGTCTTCAACTTTATGGATACCATTCTCCTACTAATAGTGTATGTACAATACTTTAAATGTTCTTTATGTATATATCCCACACATATTATACTTGATAATGTTTTTCTTTAAAAATTGTTATTCAAAATATTTTAGAATTTATTATACAGTATGGTACAATCAATACAAAATTTGATACCTTCCTAAATTTATGAGAAAACTAAAATATACAGAAAAATTGTATGTCTTTATTAAATGTATATCCTTTACTTATAGTAAATGAAAAGAAAGCCAGGTTTGGTGGTACATGCCTATGATCCCAGCACTCAGGAGGCTGGGGCAGAAGGATTGCTATGAGTTCAAGGCCGGCCTCGGGTACATAGTGAGTTCATGGATAGCCTGAAATAATCAGTGAGACCCTGTCTCAAAGAAAATAACAATAAAATAAAAGGAGTAAAGAACCAGCAACAAAAACTGGTACAATAATTAAAGTTTTTGATTTTTTAGCAGTATTTAAGGAGTTATTTGAAAAATAGTACAGCAGAGGTTAGGCTGTGTGCCTGCGGAACACAGGTATTTAAAAAGCTCGGTCTGTTTATCTGGATATATAGTCTTATATTTCTTACAAATTTTTAAAACCCCATTGCCTGCCTACTTTTTCTGCTCTATACAAAAATAAACATATTGGCATGACATGCTATTTGGTAGATTTAATATAGCAATGTATCATGTCATTTCTCAAAGAAAATTATGCCTTTCAGATTCTCCTTGTCTTGAAAAATTTTGGAGTTCCTATAAATGAACTGAGTTTCCATCTTTCATTTCTCTTCAGCAAGTTAGAGCTTGTTAATATATCTTAAAGTAACTAAGAATAGATCGCAGCCCTTTTAAAAATATGAATGTGCACAGTTCACTTGACATCCCAGAGATCATTCAGCCATTTTAAAGGATCCCTTAAACTAGAGATTCCACCTGAAGAACTCTGAGGTTTTTAACTATGACAGTTTTCATTTTTCCTTTCATTTCATAAATAATTCATATATAGGGTGATGATGTGTTTTTTTAAAATCTGAGTAATACTATTGTTAAAAGGAAATTGGCCCTAATATATAGCTCCATTACACAAATTTTATGCACTGTTATACAAATTGTAATCACTTAATTGCCTATTTTGTTTATGTTATGCTTGTTTATAGGAAAATATAGTTAGGATTCTACATTTTATTTAATAACATTTTTTATAGTTTCACTGAAGACAGACTTTTTTATATTAAAAATGTATCTGTTTATGTAACTTGATATTTTAATCCACAAACCTAAATGAACTAAAAGATTTTTCGGGTATGTAATGGCCTTATTTATTGGTTTTGATCATCCTTGAATTTCACATTTCCTGTAAATAGAATAGTCACCCTTGATTTTCTCTGCATTCCTGTTGCATGGCACATTGTTTTCTATTTCTTGTAAACAGCATATTGTTGTATCTTGTTCCTTGGTCCATTCTGCCACTCTGTTTCTTTTCTTTGGTGAATTGAGGCTATTTACATTTATGATTATAACAAATATGTATTGGACTGTCTTTGTCATATTTTCCTGCTTCTTTTCCTCTGTTTAATTCCTTTCCCCTACTTGGTGGTTTCTTTCTGTTGTTCTTAGAATTGTCATTTTTGCCTCTGTCTAAATTATCTTTTAGTACCCTTTCATGGTATTGACTTTGCGGTCATAAATTTCTTCAGTTGTTGCCATAGAAATATTTTACCTCTCCATTAATTTTGAAAGAGTTTTCCAACGTGTCTCAGTTATTCATCTCTCATTGCTTGGAGAAAACACCCAACACCCAAAATTAAGGAAGGAAAGGTCTATTTAGCCACAGTTAGTGGAGGTTTCAGTTTATACTCAGCTGACTCCAAGGCAGAGTGGCACATGGCAGGGGCAGTAGTTCATGGAGATGGAAAACAGCAAAACAGCATGAGCCAAAGGGCAGGAGCAGCAGCAACAATGGCTTCAGGAGAGGCAGAGACAGAGAAAAGCCTCTCTCCCTTAAAATTGTATTCAAAGGGGCCAGGAATATAACTCAGCAGCTTAAGTACCTGCCTGGGAAGTGCAAGGTCCTCTGTTGGATTTCCAGTACCAGAAAAAAAATGCATTCAGGCTATCTTCCCCAGGTGTGTGTGGCACTCACACCTATAAGCCCAATAGTATTTACACCCATTGTCCCAGCAGCACTCACAACTCATCATCCCAGCACTGGATCATGAGTTTAACACAAACTGTGGAAGTCTGCCCCATAACTGCATGAGATTTGGGAGAACACATAGACACAAACCATAACACAGGGTGCATTAGTCTGGATTGGAAGTTGTTTTCTTCCAAGACTTTAAATACTTTATTCAAGCTCTTTATTTGAAGATTTTTTCTGAGAAGTCTATGATTCTGATATGTTTTCCTTTATAATTGATCTATTTCTTTGCTCTAATAGCTTTCAATATTCTGTTCTTGTGCTGAATTTCTGGGATCTTGATTATTATATATCTGGATGTAGATTTACTTTGCTTATAGCTAATTGGAATTCTACATGACTCACTTATTTGTATGCCAGATTCTTTTCTTATTACTTCTGCAAATAATTTTTATGTCACTTGTGTTAACTACTGCTTTTTCATTGGCACCAATGATTTTTATATTATTTTTCTTTGCATTATCTTGAAGCTGCTGAATTGTTACTTTCTGGTCTTTAATTATTTTAAAGAGATCTTTCCTTTTATGATATCTAGCTAAAATCCCATCTTCAAAATCTGAAAGCCTGTCTTCATTTTCATTCAAATGGTTTTGATAGCTTTCAATGAAATTTTAATTTCTTGGATGTCTGTTTGAATTCATTTCATGCATTCTATTTCTCCTATAGTAATCATTCTTCCTATCACCAGCTAGTTTTTAATCTATCTCTATTCTAGATTTACTGAGCAGTTCCTTTATAAATGTTAACTTTTTTTTTAACCGGAGAGATTATTTCTGATCAGATTTTCTCTATAGCCTCATGGATTTCTTTCTTTACTTTAGTTGCTATATTTCAGAAATGCCAGGTATGTTACTACCATTTTCCTCTATCTCATTTTCTCCTGGACTTGTTCTGGGTGGGCTCAAGTTGTGAGGTTGCATTTGCTCCTGTGTCTTGTCATTTTTTATTTCTAAATTTTTTATTTTTTATTTTTTTTCATAAAGTTATTGAGAAACAAATAGCAATGAAACAGTTTCAAACCAAACTGGTAGGACAGTTTCAATAATTAACACATTGTATACATTCTTCCTAGTGGTTAATTGCTGTACAAGATGCAAACATGATATCCTACTTACAAACAACATTAGAACAAATCCCTCTATCCATTAAGAGAAGAATGTAACTATATATCGATCCTAGCCATTTGAATACACAGATACAAAATGGACATTAATTTGCATCCCCTTTTTGTTGTTAAGTTCCGTTATTTGAATATTATAAGTGTGTAAACTCAGCAAAATATTCTAAAAGAGTCCAGTAGCCCATAATGGTATTGGGTCTTCTGCTTGACTGGCAATGTCAGAAATTGTTGACCTGAGTCCCCCAAAGCTCAACATAACAACATGGCTTTACTTCTTATATTTCGTTTTTATACTTTTCTGCTGGATGGTTAAGACCAAGGTAAAGCAGGGCCTATGCAAGAAGAGTTGTAGCTTTTGGTCTGATAAGGTCAGTGAAATCCACTCAGGATTTATCCTGAGATCCTGTACCTCAAATTGTAGAACCTTTGTCAGTGTCAGCCATGTGGATGAGTCATGGCCATTGCTTGGCCAATGTGCTCTCTGTGAAAGCTTGAGAGAATGTTTTCTCTCCATGTGACTCTCCTTAGGCACACTCTACATCATCTATCACTTTCCTCTTTGGCC